GAAAAAAACATACGTAAATCAACTTATTTCAAGTTTTTTCCTTTCTGGACATTATGTCGAGATAAATCTTAGATTTTCAATGTATGTTTAGATGACGTTGTTGCTACCGCCTGTGGGCGTAATATAGCTGCAGCTAATACACCATAACCTGGCAAAAGATGATAGGAACAGCTACAGTATTCGACAAGCAGGGGGAGATTGGGAAAACAACAAGGCGGATGTGTTTTTTCCCAAGCGTTGCGTAAAGGTTTATCTGAGAATATACCACCTCACAGAGATAAAATGAAACTGCGTGGATTGTAAGGACCAAATTGTCTGTATATACATACAATGTATCAAAGATGTCGTCTTTAAGAGGGAATAAGGAGTGTTGCTTAAAAGTTAGCGTTACAATGTTTGGACAAGTCGAATATCAAGAGCATTGCTGTAGGAACATATGATTCAGTAGGTGTGATATGTACCTCAAGACAGAATGCATTGAAATTGTCAGTATATCTTACCCCGTTAAAGTATACCCTACACTACACCTAATCTAGAAAAAGTTGAAATAGAATTGGTTCCAGGCCAACTAACAAACAGCATTGTTGAGATGCGTAGAAGTAACATCTGAATTACATCGTTTCACTGATGAAGACGCCATTGAGAATGGACTGATGAAAAATTGCTTACCGTTAAATATCGAGACCAGAAGAAAACATGCAAAGAATGTGGTTCTTTTGATCATTTGTGATTGTCCACATTATGACCCAAAACAAACCTATCAGAAAACAGGTTTTAATTAAATCGACGTCTTTAATTATTGAAGGAAATTCATCAAAGGAATCACCACAATGTAATCAAACCAATTTACCAAAAATTGTTAAAATCTTTTCGCAACAAAACTTAACACCTTATCAAAATAATGGTATAACTACTTTAACATCTTCAGATCCAATGTCGATAACAATACATAATTTATATATGTCTAACGGTGATCAGCATATATCCCAACTTGGATATCTTTTCCCACCGTCTTTAGCTAGAAAAAGGGGACATTCAAGCAGTATATATGACAAATCCGCTTGCTACTCAATCAAAATATAATGAATTGACAAGTGATGATGAAGACGACGATCAACCAATACACAGAATGGAGGTAATGCTGTATGCCTTCAAAACACCAAGTTTGAAAAATAGTAACAAGCCACAATGAATCGAAAAATCTTTATCGACTGTTTCGTCTTCTTGCTTCTTTAAAATATTGGATATTGAAAACGATTGTTGAGCATGTAGTAAATACCTCAATTTTTAACGCAAATGCCTACAACTTAATAAATTACCCAGTAAAGGCTCCTACGGAAAGTGTCAAAATAGCAAATGCCCGTGCTATATATAAATTGCTCTTTTAGTATTATAAAAACATCAGATGGAGCAGCTTATTGTGACTACGGGCAATATTCAAGCTGTACTAACATTATTATATTACCCGCAAATGTCTGAATGCAGGTTAAAAGTTGCCTCTTTGAATGTTGGAGGCATTCGATCTTACAAGAAAAGAGTTGAAATGTTTTATTTTCTCAAGCATAAAAAATTTGAACAAAGCACACGGGAATGGGTAGGTACGGGTGTTTTTTCCCATTATTTTTCTTACGAGGGGTTTGCATACTGTTCAATAGTAATATCTTATATCGAAATGAATATTCACATGAATCAGATGATGGAAGATATGTTGCATTATACACGCCAATTGTGTCTGAACGAATTGGTATAGTCACCGTATATGCACCAAACGTTGAATATTTAAAGCAACTAAAGCTAGGTGTGCTAGAAACATTAGTAACTGAGCACATACTTGCTGGATATTTCAATTTAGTATTGAATCTTAACCTGAATAAGAAAGGAGGTCGACCATTCCATGCGAATCAGCGGGCTAGAAACACTCTTCTCATTCAATATAAAAACGTCTTCCGATTGAAATATTCAGCCAGGCACTGTTGTTTTCATATTCAAAAACCAATTAAGATCATGACACGTATCGATTTTTTTTTATTTCTAAGAATCTAGTCACCTAAACGACGGACTGTTTAATCATTCCTGCGATCAACTCACACAAGAAAGGCAAGAGATACCGGAACCCCAATTGCTCATTGTTAAAAGATAATTACATATAATTAAAAGGATAGTATTTAATGCAATATAAGATCATTCCCACGAATCGATAGCTCCACAGTTGTTCTGGGATACTTGGAATACAATGTAGAGAATTGGACTTTGAAATTGAACAACTAAGAAATGAAATGTACAGAAATAATTTGAGAGATAACTATGGAAATCTCTTCAAGAAACAGAAAAAAACTAAACTTATTATATATATATATATATATATATATATATATCAAAACAACACAGGGATATATTATGCATAGTAAAGCAAAATGGGCTGAAAATGAATAAAAAAAACTTGAAGTTTTTTAATCGGACTTGAAAAACGAACTAAGCTTCAATTTCACAATTTCAGCTTCAAAAACAGAAGATGGTATCTTAACCAAGCAAGACGATATAATGAAGGGAATACAAACATTTACGAAATATTGTACAGTTCTGATCAACCGGACCATAAATGTATTTATACCCAGAAATTTATTGAGGATTTAAATATTTCTTTATAACCAAAACAAGCTTTTTGTAACAAACAACAGTTTCTTCTCTAGGGCAATTATTCTACAAAGAGGGCTTAAACAAGGTGACTCTATTTCACCATATTTATTCCTGATAGTGATAGAAATTTTTGCAACTATGGTTCGTAAAAACGATCTTATCACTAGGATTAGAATCTAAAGCATCTAAAAGCATAAAGACATTAACTCTCTCTTTGAGAAAACTCATTTTTTATTTTCATTCAGTCTTCATTTTATAACAATAAGAGATACACTTTGTACCTGATACATGTATAAGGAATTCACAGGTGATGACAATGTTCACCTCTATGCAAGAATGCCATTTTTTTTTTATAAAAGCTTGCGATGAACACGAAATCGATTAATCACATCATTTGGACAAAAATTCCTCATTCTCTTATTTTCAGCTAATATAACACTACGGTATAGAATATAATGCAAATGAATATCGGGACTAATATAAATTGATTGGCTGCATACCAAAATATTGGATTGAGATATTGAGAGTTCTATCGATTCCAATTGTTTACAGAATTTAAAATGTTTTATTTTGATGATTTTTTATCTAGTTCATTGTGTGAAAATACGTGTCGCTTAGCGAAAAAAGGGAATTGTAAAAAAGAAATTCATTCTCCCGGAAATACAACAGCGGGTTTCGAAAGAGAATCTAAGTTTCTCTAATGAAATTAATTCGCTGTCATACGTTGCAAATAATTATTATTAAACTATTGAAACTAAACTTGAGATCTTTTTAGACAAAAAAAATTCTGTAATTCATTGTGCTAAATAACGTTTTATATGGATTGAATTGGTAAATTTAAATCGTTGTGGATCTTGTGGAAATGCAATTGAAGATCTATTACATTCATTTTCTTATTGTCCAATCACGCAAGATTTTTGGGCACAAGTTAATCAATACCTATATTTTTTTCTGACAATCCGGCTTTTTTCTGTTGGCAAAAAGAGTGTTTTAGGTTATTGCGACCCTCCGAATAACACGTTAATAGGTTGCATATTAATTTGTCTTCGGTTTTTATATATTGGTGTAAACTGCAACGTATTCTTTCAATCTTTTGCTTTTTTGTTAGCTTTATCCGAAGGGTAAAAGAAATCGAAAAATAGTATGCAATTAACTCAGGACGAGGTAGCTTTACATAATAAAAAGTAAAATTCCATGTCATAGTTAAAAGAGTAAATGCTGTTACGTGAGTATGTTTTACTTGTATAATTGAAGTTAATTTGCTTGTCTTGGATTTTATTTTTATGCAAAACAGTTAGCTTGCTCCACTCTGCCTAGATTAAAAATCCTTTTTTTCCTCAGTTGTTTGTTTCATGTCCTCATTTAAATTGCATTTTTGCCAATGTTTTAAATTATGTAAGGTGTACCATGCTAGTTGCATGGGTAAATGACATTAAACAGGTATTTCTGTATTTATTCGTACCCTCCGCAATATACTTTGCTTATGGTAGAGATGGTTCATGAACCTTTGGTCGTATTGAACCACAATGAAATTTTAAGACGCTCTTTAGATCTTGGTCCAATATTTAATATTTTTACTTCACTTCTGTTGATTTCCCTTACAGGCAAGCCTAAACTGCTCATTTGATTGTCATTATACTTTTAATAAACATTATTAAAACATATTTCCTGGTAAAGAATCTTCTACATATTCCTAAACTTTGCTTTATTGGTTTACTCAATTTTAGACTACTTGATTCTTCGATAGTTTTTTTTTTTTATATGTTTCGTATTAAGTAGCCATTTTGAGCATGTCTTTGATACTACCTCTGTTTTGAATGACTGTTTTGGAATTTCTTTAACATATTTTGATATTTCATATCTTCTTTGATTTTATAATTCCTGTCAGTAACGTTATGTGAAACTCTAACTCCAACTCCCAAACACTTGGTCCAGAAACAGGTTCAGGTACCTCAATTTCTTCCTACCATAAAGTTAAGGTTTATTCGTTGGTAATCTTGTTGTGGTTACCCTCAGCAACCTGTATGTTTTACTGTAACCCTGCGCCAACACAACCAGACGTTTATTGCTCATTGCTATACAATGCACAGAAACAGCCCACAACTGCTATCTCCATGATTACCGAGTAAGTGGTGTTCGGAGTCGTCTTTTGTTGGAGCGAGTGACTGCTTGTTATAGCAGATCGCCCCGAGGATTTTTTTTAACTAACATATACTTAGTTTTCTTCTTGGTCTTCTCTTCAACTTTTTCTTCTTTATAATTTCGTGTTAGACTCACTTTATGAGTACCGCTGCTTGATAACCAGTACTGGTTTTCCACGTCTCCTTCACCTTGAAATGTAGCCTATTTATAATACATTGCAATTTTTATGTTTGTGCCTATTTTTGATAGGGTGAAAAATAAACTACTGACTGACAATAAAAAAGAAGCGTGATCTTGTATGGATTTGGCTAGAGCATTGCTATGAAAAATAGTTTGATTCAAAGGGAACGTGCTTGCACTAAACAGAATTCTAGCTAAAATATACCATCTGATTTACAAATATTCGCACATTACAATAATCAATCATTATGAAGTTATACAGCTTTCTGTTATACAATGTATATTGAAAATTCTATGAGTTGCCTATTCCTCCGAACAGTGAAAACACAATAAACCAAAATTGAATTTATTAATCCTAAAAACACTGCTTTGCTGGTTTCAAAGCAAAACATGCACAATATTAAACTTTTTAAACTGGTATCAAGTTACTTATTAAAGAAATGTCAGTCTTCCTCTGTTATATCAGTGGGACCTCCGCTGTTGCATTATCGCTGACATGGCTACATCTATGTTTTGTAACCAGCATAGAAATGCACGAAGTACAAGTTTTATCAGTAAAGCTACTCTTATTGCGAGACCTAAAATAAGTTTATAACTGAGAACAGACATTTACAAGCATATGTAGATTTAAAAAACAATTTATACTAAAAAGTTAACAAGCAGTTCGAACGAGCATGCGCTCTACGAAGGTGACACAGACGAACTATATTATACGTCAGACTGAGAACATTTGTTTGAATGTTGAGAGCTCAGCTATTTGTTACATCATATCATATTTCTCTGTACACATATGTCATGTAAGGATAAAAACAGTTCATTTAATAGACGCTTATACGTACTGAAAAGGCCGGAACCATTTTTTTATACAAAAAATACAATATGTTAATTTTTAGAATATAATCGCCTTCGGAAGAGGTTTTAAGTCACGCTTAGTATATTCCTGTAAAAATATTTCTTGCAAGAGACATTTTTTAAATTCATTAGAAACACGATTGTAAGACTGTTATCTTCTATAATATCAATAATTTATTGTTCTAGGTCGCAGCCATCGAGCGGATTATTAGTTCCTTTCTCGTAGAAGCAAGCATTGCATCCATGGCAGTAGTTGGCAACACAAATCACGTCTGGGTTGTCTCTGCAGTTGAGACATGGATCCGCGAAACAGTTAACTTCGCATTTTGGGTTGCAGTCAGGAACACCGGGATGTTTTGCTGAAAGTGTATAAAATTAGAAAAAAAAATATTTGTGACCGTGTGATCATGGAATTAAAGACTTCTAATCTAAGCAACCATTAAAATTTTCGACTCATCATCGTTTCAGAATAATAATAGTTACCTTCAGTTTTAAGAATTTCAAATCAACGCTATTTAGTTTTTCTATTTTGCATTATACTTACGACATTCTGGTACTTGGCATTCAATGGTCTTGGAGAAGACTTCTTTTGCTGTTACCAGGAAAATCAATGCTACGATCGCGACTACTCTCATTTTTTATATTTTTTGTTTCTTTATAGAGTAGGCTATAGCTACACAAATAAAACAAGGGGTGATCCTTCAAAATGAAAAAAAATAGTTTTATTTTATACCTATTAATTCTTCACCAACAGATTCAGTCAATTGAATTTGACGGTATTACTTTGGTTACATGACGATATTCTAGGCAAATGCCTGTAATATAAAGCTCCTATATCTTTTTAAAATTTGATTTTTCTTTTTTTCCTTTTCCCCCGCCAAATTTCCATAAACAAAAAGTTATTCAAAATAAAACAAATACATCCCAAAATATATATAAATTTGTATACTAACTCTTAGGTCTAAGATCTGATTAAAAATTTAATATTAAATACCTCAACATAAGAAGGGTGAACCTGCAAACACGAGGCATTTTAATTCACGAGCTACTTTTAATGGCGCGGGGCCCTATTTCGCCTTTACTATTTACGAAACCCCGAACAGGCACTATTTCAACCCGCGTTGACATCGACCTTAATTTAAAAAAACTTTACACAGAAACTATCATTCATTTTGACTTACAGTATAGCCTACTATTATTTTGATGCAAGCTTCCGGGAAATCATTACGTTGTTTACTTTTGTGGTGTGAAAAATTGGTTACGTCTATCTAGAATCTTCTAGACCAGATGGTCTATATAATTTACCGAAAATGCTAGAAGTACAGAATTTATTGCAATTATCCAGATATGCGAACCTATCGCAATAACATGCAACTTTGCACATTTGTAAAACGCGACTGAATATTTATATTGAAATGGCCTGACGTCATGTTATTGTTTTTCACGAGTGGAAAAAACACATTTGGCTTCATTATGGGGCATGTGACGCATATCACCCACACTTATTTTGAAACAGAGAATGCTTTTCGCTTGCGGTAACGGCACGATTCACAAATTTCCTAATGCAATAGACTAGAGGATGACATCATTAAAATTTACCCGTTTGCTTTTATTCGCTTTGAAATGTTTCCGCTTGATTTCTTGTAGCTGACCCATGACGTTCTGTAGTAGATATTATGTTCTTTTTCATATACCCTGCTTCCAATTTGTTGTGGGCTATGTCGTTCATACTGTTTTTAGCATACGGAATAACTTATGGATAACCCAGCTATGGTGATCCCAACTTTAGTAGAATTAATAGAAATGTTGTAATATTTGTTGTCGCGTCATAAAATTATCAAAAGCGGATATGTTTGGCCATGTGTTAAAAATAGAAACGATCTTAGTCGTGCGTGACATCAATATCAGATACGTGCGTTTACACGTTGTCAACATGATAAAGCAACAATAACAAATAAAATATTGCATGATGTTTTCGGGGTATTTTTCACATTTTGAATTGAGATTTATATCTGTTACCCATAAAATCGACCATCTTTTATTTAACTAATCAGATAAATTTTCGAAAATTTAGGAGTAAAAGGTGATGTATGCGAGAATATGAATAAATTGTGTAAATTACGGGTTGATTAGTTTCCAGTATCGTTTGTTATGCTGTTTGGTACAACGGAACTTATTGGACACGTAGTGGACCTATGGATCGTTTCAAAATTACGTTGTTGTTCTTGTTCTTTGACACGTTTTTGGACACCTAGTAGTATACCTAAAAAGTTGCTTTTCTCTTTGATTACTGGACCAATTGCTCTGAAATTTTCAGTGGTTAAAGATTGTATTTTTCGCTAGAAGGCTATTTTATTAATTTATTTCAAAAATATCAGTGGGCTCTATGGGACCGTATCAGGTGATGAAACGTCTTTTTAAAAATATTATGCGAACGAAAGTGCTTTAAAATATATCTTTGCGCTTAGTACTGTCGCCCACACCAACTGCTAGTACCCCCCTTGAGGGGGCCACGGGCCCCAGGTTGGGTAGCGCTGCTCTAATAATCATTGCCCAATGGCGAAGTAAATTAAAAGAATTACTATATATTTCGACATATCCATTATACAGAATTGATCGTTTCACTTATATATACGAATATTTATATATATATGGATATATTTTCGGCTCTGAATTTAGTAGTAACCAGGCGAGAGGCCAGAATTCGTTAACGATCACAAGGTGTTTTCACCTAGTTGGGCATGATTGTTTGAATTTGGAATCTATCAATCAAAATACCACTATAAATGCCACTAGAATGATAAACAAAGGGGCAATACGTGCCAGAAGCCTCCGAGAGGCGCAAAATATTGTTTCTTTCTGTTAATAATCTTACGGCATTGTTTGGGGTCCTTGCAGAAATGGTGAGTTGAAATACATAAATTTTGTAAAAAAAAACTGCTATTTAAAATTATTGTCACGCCGACTTCAAACAAATTCAGTGAGAAACCACTTTTTTTATAACATTGTGTATTTTGCAACAGGATTTTGCTAGCTAGTTTTGTTTTACTAATATAACAGTGGCGTTCATGTACTAACTAAACTAAAAACTCGTTTCGCGGGCACGCCATTCAAAATTGGCACTTCTCCGCGGGTCGCACAATTTTTTCTTGGTCTGGGGGCCTCAATTTGCACACCTCTGCTTTAGACTGTATGAATACAAGTTGTGGAATTTTTAGACACTAAATGGACATATGGATCGTTTTGTCATTATATGAAAAAAATCCCTTTTCTCATTACCTACCGGACCATTTGCTTTGCAATTCTCAGTGGTTAAATTTTGTAGACGATTCGCTGGAAGGTAATTCTTCCCATTTGTTTCAAATTTTTTTTAGTGATTTTATAGTAATAACAATTTTAAGTTATGTAAATTGTAAAGTATAGGGAGAATTTTTCTGGGGTCAAGGATCAGGGAAATATTCATAGCAAAACGTTCAATTAATACACTAGTTTTTTCATTTCTATATGACGTCATATTGTTATCTCAATTCTTACTTTTGTGGCAACTTGTTTTTTCACTTATATATCATGGTTAACGATATTTCACACAATTTACACAAAACTTCAAAGTGAAAAACAAAATCCCATAGAGCCCACAGAAATGTTTGAAATAAACAAAAGTTATGGTTTTCTAGCGGCAGCAAGTTTCAACGACTTAAAATTTCAAATTAATTGGTCCAGTAGTTAAGGAGAAAAGCGATTTTTCACATCAAGACGAAGAAAAAAAAATGCTAACATGATCATCAACAACAACATAATAACAAAGCGATCTATAGCCCAATTCGTATCCGATTATCATAATAACAAGAGAGCAATGCTCAAATATATATATGGGAATATATAAACGAAAGCTATTTACAATAATTGCATCACGCTGTTAAACCAGCAAATATTTTTTTGCATTGATAATACCGCGACCACCATATTTCATAACATGTTGAACACTATTGGAAACACTGTAATGCTTCTTTATTGGCATATTGATGTTGTTTACCGCAGAACTGTAATGAAAAAAAGCAAAAAGTTGAGCATAAACATAGCAGCTGTGCAAGCGTAAAAATGAAATGAAACAAGGTAATTTGACTGCAAATGCAGTAAGATCAAACATGTAAATGAACTTGATATGCTTTGGCACTTTCGTACGTCACATGTTAAAAATTATCGGAGAAGTTGTAATGCTTCTTCCTTAGCATACTTTCGTTATTCACGGCAAAACTGTACCGGTGCCTTAACACCGGTACCGGTGCCTTAACTCCCCAGTACCATACCATACCTGTAAGCCTGATACCGGTATTCGATCGTGGTTATTCTTAGGCGTATACAAACTTATTTTATTTTCTGTTATCAATATAAACTAATACGTTAGTATACAAAACTTGAATTTGTGTACTAGTAAGTCACCGTACTATGTCACGGTACCGAAACTGTCCTATCTCCTTGTGCCAGCTTCAATTGAAATTGTAAGATGATCCGAATTGCAACTGCAGTAACACCATTGATATGTTAAGTCATCAATGGTAACACCGACGATCCGAAACACTACTGTATTATAACACCAGGGGCGCCATTCGCCAAACTTCTTTATCGTTTAACGTGTTAGTAAAGCACCCACTTTCTCGTAAAAAGCAAAAATAGTATTCTCGAAGTATTGTTAATATTCGAGAGAATTTTTTGCTCGCCAAAACAGACGTCTCGTATAGTGCCTTCTTCTCTCATTTTACCGAGAATCGGTATTCACCAACGACTAACATACGTATTCACCAAAGTTCTTTCACGCGCCGTAGGGCTCGCAAACTAACGAGGAGAAAATTTTGCTCGTTAACAGTAGTCCGGCCTGTTCTTAGCATGAATTCAAGTTAAAATGTATGTGTGTTATTTGTAACAGTATCTACATAATAATTAAACTGTATAACTAAGACGGGATACATGTTCAATACCTTACTGGACTAAGACAAGTATGTGCGACATGCACCCCAACAAATGCTGTGGTGTTTGCATACTTCGTGAAAAATTGGTATCAAAAATCCCTAAATGCCTAACGTAGGTAAGAGTGATTGTAGTCTAGTAGCTGTGGACCCACCTATATATGCCAACTAACACCGTACTACATCAAATATGGAATTACATATTCATCTATTTTATTGTCTGTGACTGTAGTCTAGTAGCTGTGGACCCACCTATATATGATCACGCTAATAACCGAATTGCGTAAGTCATTTTTGGCGATTTTGAGTTTTTTATAAAATAGGTATTTATGTAATGCTGCGCACCTGTCTGTTAACTCAGATTTTATTTTAAGAATTCCGAAACCCATAAAAATGGAGATTTAGTATGACATGCACATTTGTGCAATTGTTTCGTCATAATGAATTATCATTGTTACCGCGGGACTATTGTGACGTCACAAAGGAAAAATAACCTCGGCGAAGTATTTTCGAGTTTTTGCATCTCGGATTTTAGCTTAGCGCGTATTAATTTAAATTTACACTACAGTATAGGAGGACGTGCACTTGTGATATTCACTGTCCGAGTCCAATTCACCTTGGTTGGCTTTTATATTGGGTTATATTGGGTGCTGTTTTATTCTTTATATTTAATCTTAGTCCTATTTCGGTGGGTGTGCAGAACGTGTTATATTGATGAAATATATATTTTTAAACTTAAAAATAATGTAATTGAAACTGATTAGCTATTTTCTGGATTAGACATTGTAGATACTGAGAATTACATTCGTTTTTGGAATGTTTAGTTTTCAGGACTGGTGCATATAGTAAAGTTGCAAAATTGCGTATGTCCCCAAGTCATAGACACATTTCTGCCTAAGTCACAGTGCGCCATTATGACGTCACTTAACTGCGTCATACAAATTAACTTAAATCCGGCTACGATCAAAAAATTGAACCATGGCAAATTATTGACTCTCAATGGCATAACAATATCATTAGGAAGTTTTTTACGTTTTTCTCAAAATTGCT